CCCTCCCTCTTTCTTTTTTCTTTCTTTCTCTCTTTCTCTCTCTGTCTCACACACACACACACCCTCCCTCCTTCCTTCTTTCCCTCCCTCCCTCCCTCTTTCTTTTTTCTTTATCTCTCTCTCACACACACACACACCCTCCTTCCTTCTTTCTCTCCCTCCCTCTTTCTTTTTTCTTTCTTTCTCTCTCTTTCTCTCTCTCTCTCTCTCACAGACACCCCCTTCCTCCTTCCTTCCCTCTTTCTCTCCCTCCCTCCCTCTTTCTTTTTTCTTTATCTCTCTCTCACACACACACACACCCTCCTTCCTTCTTTCTCTCCCTCCCTCTTTCTTTTTTCTTTCTTTCTCTCTCTTTCTCTCTCTCTCTCTCTCACAGACACCCCCTTCCTCCTTCCTTCCCTCTTTCTCTCCCTCCCTCCCTCTTTCTTTTTTCTTTATCTCTCTCACACACACCCTCCCTCCTTCCTTCTTTCTCTCCTTCCCTCTTTCTTTTTTCTTTCTCTCTCTCACACACACACCCTTCCTTCTTCCTTTCTTTTTTCTTTCTTTCTCTCTCTCTCACACACACACCCTCCCTCCTTCCTTCTTTCTCTCCCTCCTTCCCTCTTTATTTTTTCTTTTTCTCTCTCTCTCACACACACCCTCCCTCCTTCCTTCTTTCTCTCCCTCCCTCCCTCTTTTTTCTTTCTCTCTTTTTTTCTCTTTCTCTCTCTCTCACACACACACCCTCCCTCCTTCCTTCTTTCTCTCTCTCCCTCCCTCTTTCTTTTTTCTTTCTTTCTCTCTTTCTCTCTCCCGCCCTCCCTCTTCCTTCCTTCCTTCCTTTCTTTGTTTTTACGACTCCTGGTCTATTCCTAAAAGACATAATGCTGAGGTGAGTTCTACAATCCAAAACACAGGTAATCCTCTGTTTACAACCAACATTGAGCTCTACATTTCTGTTGTTAAATGTTTTGCCTTCTGTGGCTAAGTTGAATCGCTGCCGTTGTTCAGTTAGGAATCCGGTCGTTAAGTGAAACCTGGCTTCCCCATTGACTTTGCTTGCCAGAGGTGGCCAAAAGGGGATCGTGTGAGCCCAGCCTCTGACGCCGCCATCATAAATAGCATGCAGTTGCCAAGTGGTCTAGATTTTGATCATGTGACCACTGCCACAGTTGTTAAGTGTGAAAAAGCCGTAAGCCATTTTTTTCCTGTGCCGTTGCAACTCAAAACGGTCCCTAAGTGAATAGTTGTTAAATCGAGGGCTACATGTAGCCAAGGGCAGGGCGAGAATTTAAAGTGTAGTCATGTAGGGTTTAGTTAGGGTTTATGGCAATTGCGTTTGTGTGTGGAGGGGCAGTCATCAACGTCATGGTTTTAAAAAAGGATATTTTCACTTTGAGCAATCATTGAATCTTTAAAGAAATGAAGATTTGCTTCAGAGATCTTTTAGCACGCCTCTATGGATTGATGAGGGAGCACACGGACTTTGTGGCGAAGAAGCGTGGAAAATAAAGCTAGAATAAAGCTTTGAACAGTTGGTGTTCATTTATTTTTCCAGATTTGGGTTAAAAGTTTTAGATGAAAAAGGGGGCCGTCCCTAGACTAGGATATGTTTGGAAAGGTCATTTCTTGTTATTGTTTTTAAACCAAATAATGTTATTACGTTTTGCAAAGTGTACGCATCAAAAGCAACGTAAACTTAACAAGAGAAAAAATAAGAGTTAAAAAAAAAAAAAATTAAAGTGCAAAAAGGTACAAAGAAAAAGAAAGGAAGACAAAAATAGAATGACTTCTGACTTCTCCGAATCATGTAGAGGACATTTTCATTCGACTCTTAGTTTAAAAGTGTAACATCCATCCCCACCCCCCCATGCCCCCCAAAAAAGAAAAGGGGAAATTAAAATATAAGTTCTTTTGTTTTGTCCCTATTAGAATTTCAACAATCATCACATCCATATGTCAGAATTGGATTTTTCTCCATCTCTCGCAAAAAGTCCACAGAGGGCTTCCAATTATAAATGAAATTTATTCAGTGGTTTTTTCCCTCCGGAGGGAGGGCCGTTAACTTAGCCATCATTGCCAAATCTGTCATCTTTATTAATTGTTCCTCTATTGTGAGAAAAAAAAAATCCTGACAGTGGGAACAATTAATCAGTGGAACCAGAAGTTGTGAATGATCCAACACTGGAAATTTTAAAGAAGAGATTGGGTAACCATTTGTCTGGAATGGCATATAGGTTTCCTGCTTGAGCAGAGGGTCAGACTAGAAGACCTCCAAGGTCCCTTCCAACTCTATTTCCTCGACTTACAACAGGTTTTTTAGTGCCATTATAACAGTACTGGGGGAAAATGGTTTACGACTGGTTTTTCACACTTACAACCTTCTGGTTGCATGATCAAAATTCAGATGCTTGGCAACCGACTCGTCTTTATGACGGTTGCAGTGGCTCTGGGCCATGCAGTCTCCTTTTGCGACCTCCTGACAGCCAATGGGGAAAACGGATTCACTTAACAACCATAACTTAACAGCTCTAGTGATTTGTTTAACAACTGTGGGCAGGCAAGTAAGGTTATAAAACCCAGTTCACAACTGCCTGGCTCCAGAAATCACCCAGAAATTTTGGGCTCGACTGTGGTCGTAAACCGAGGACTCCCCGTTCTTCTGACGTCTGGAGCGTTAAAAGGCTGTGTAGCTTCCTTTAGGCCTGGGATCAGATTCAAAACAGTCCCTCCTACATTTATCTCTGCTTGGTATCCCTTAGCTTATTCAGTAGCTGTTCATTTATTTATATGTTTATTGCCCCCACTTCTAATCCCAGAACACGCCTTCTATCACAGCCTTTATCCACCCCATTTCCCAGGAACTTGGGCAGGGATTGTTTTCTCTCTCTCTCTCTTTTTTTTTCATTTTAGTGCTGCAGATTATTTTGCTGCTTCATATTCTTGCCCGGATTGCTGACAGTGGTTTCAGGATGTTTATAGAAATGTTTTTTAACCAACCGAGTTGGAACAAAAGTGCTGTTACTGTTATTTATTATGGTTTGTCCCACAGCCAGACATCGAGATTTCGATTTGGCCTTTTTCACCCATCCAACGAGT